CTAAATACTTGTTTGCCCCACTGTATATGGCATGTAATGTACGTTAGAATAAATAGAATGGTTTTGAATAATAGATGAGAGTAAAATATACGTCACTTCACAAACCGGCCCACTTTTGGGGAAACCAACGCTGTCATTTGAACGGCGATCAAGCCTGAAGCCACAGAGCTCTTCTTTTACTGTCCTTTCTTCTTAGAAGACGTACAGAAACATGTAACTCTGGATTTGTTTTAATGTTTGAGGTGCAATAAACGACACTGCAGCTTGTTGGCATATTACAACTATTATTTTCTGCCTCACTCAGGAGATTAACAGCTGGCGAAATTACAGCCTCACCTACTGATTTTAATTCAACCATATATCGAGCCCGATTGTCGATTTCAAATGTGTGCTCTAAAATGATATTTATAAATGACTATTATCATTATTATAAGCAAGACAATAAATGGCAAAGATATGTAGAAAATAAACGTATTTGAGATACGTTCATACCTAACGTAACGTGGGAGAAAATACGTTTCTAGCTAAACGTAATTGAGAATGCAGTTTAGTTCTGTGGGAACGTCATTTTTAGGAGACAGGGTTGGTTTGCGGAGCCCACGGTTCATTCCCCTGTCATGAATTTTATAGTTTAAAACACCACTTTTTCCAGAGTTCATTAGATATGGAGATAGGATCTGTTTCTTGATACATCTGTTCACATCTTTTGCCTTCAGCTATGTTCGTTCATTTTCTGTTTTCAAAATGTGTCTTGAATATCTTTGACTAATCCCTGATCCCGCCCTCTTTAAGGCTCTTCTTATCAATAGCCAAAACCTTCCTCTGCCATCGAGGGTCTTTTACCAGACGAAGGATCTTGTTTAGAAATTACTTCCGAGAGGTCCCTCCCTCCTCTCACTCAAAGATATTTTGGTCATTAAGGTAAAAACTAAAAACTCAAAAACCCTTTTCAGTTCCTTTTCTGTTCACTAGTTTACAAACAGAATATGAGAGGAATGTACACAGACTGTTTGGATGTAAGTAGGCTAATGAGTTTCAAATTCAGCAAAAAGCAAGTCATATTTCTGTGGGTGATTGGAAACACTTTCTGACATTATTTAGTCAAAGTTAGTAAATATAACTAAACTAAATACGCTATTGCATCCTATTTGAGTGATTTTATGATCATTTTAGATGTATCTTTAACAGAGGTGTAAAGTAACTAAGTACATTTACTCAAGTACTTAAGTACAATTTGTAATACTTGTACTTTACTTTTGCTACTTTGTACTTCTACTCCACTACAGTTCAGAGGTAAATGGTGTACTTTTACTCCACTGCATGTATTTAATACCTTTAGTTACTTTACAGATGGATGAATGATGTGAAATATAACACAACTACAGCTGACACAAAACAAGACAACTCAATACAACCGACAGACACAACAAAACTAATCTACAGCTACTTCGTAGGTTCATAGCAGAGGTGAGAAGTAACAAAGTACATTTACTCAAGACCTGTACTTAAGTACCATTTAGAGGTACTTTTACTTTACTTGAGTATTTCTATTTAATGCTACTTTGTACTTTTAGAACAGTTCAGAGGTACATGGTGTACTCTTACTCCACGACATGTATTTAATACCTTTAGTTACTTCACAGATCTGGATTAATGATGGTAAATCTAATCAAGCGTGAAATCAGACTTTAGTTCCACCTGGAGTAAATTCACAAGCTACCCTGCAGTATACAAAGTCATTCAAACTAGCTGCACCTTTACCAGCTTTGAGAACACTTTATGATCAATCATTATAAAACATATACAATAAATAAAATGTATTATCAGAAACAATTTTTTTTTTCTCAAATGTTTAAAATCTGTCCCATATTTATATTTATTATTATTGTTATGATTATGATTATTATGATTATGATTATTGCCACAAGGGGGCAGTGAATTGCTGATGAAAAATAAATACTAAAATCCCATGATGCATTGCGTTCAATATAAATATATTACAATACATATATATAATAAAACAATAGTTGAAAAAAAGAATGTATTTAATTCTTAATTTTATCATTCATGCTTTAGTAAAAAATAGTTTTTATATTACATTTCTTTATATATTTTTTTTCAAGTTTCAAATTATATTATTTTTTTATTTAATTATTATTTTCTTATTTTCATTATTTATTTATTTTTACATTATTTTATTCTTGCTATGTTTTTCTTATTTTACATTATTTTATTATATTTGTTATTTGAAAACACTATTATATTAATAATGGTGTTTTCAATCACAAAAAACTAAAAAATATTTTTTCCAAGATTTTTATGTCTTTCATTATTATTTTAATAACTATTTTTATTTGTAATCCCTAATGAATGAACTTTTAAAAACCTGTCTGACCCGTCTCATCTTTATATATCTATTATTATTATAATTATTAATATTGTAATTATTATTTATTTTAATAGCGATAGTGTTTTCTATTTTTTTCACCACAGGGGGCAGTGAAATTATGTTTAAAATAAAAACTCTAATCGCATGATGCATTGCGCCGGGAGCGGAGAGAAGCTGGTGACGCCGGAAGGAATTGTGTTCTACCATTGGCAGAGGAGTTAAATTAGGTGATGTCTGGTCCATGTTTAAGCGGATGAGTGGGAAAAGGAAATCCATTAAAATGCCAGCTTTGGTTGATGGGGAGAGGCTGACAGTGACAGATAAAGAGAAGGCAGATATGTTAGGAAGGACACTTGCAGCAGTACATAGTGGGGAGCATCTCAATGATATTCATAGGCAGCAAAAACAGCAGTTACTAGCAGAGAATGAAAACATGAAGGAGAAGAGACAGGATAATAGGTCAGCTCTGGATGTGGAATGTACAATGTCAGAACTCAAAATAGCCTTACAAGGTACAGGATATACAGCCCCAGGACAAGACCAGCTATGTCATGCTATGTTTAGACAGTTACCTATGGAAACTATGGAAATGGTGCTGAGTCTTTTCAATAAAATCTGGAGGAGAAGGAGATATGCCAAGTGTGTGGAAAACAGCAGTCGTGCTACCATTCAATAAGCCAGGGAAAGATACAGCTAACCCTGGTAACTACAGACCAATAGCTCTTACATCACACCTATGTAAATGGATGGAAAAGATCATTGTCCGTAGGCTCTCACATGTACTGGAACAGAAAGGGCTGCTGAGTAGTTTTCAGAGCGGATTTCGTAAAGGGCGGTCCACAATAGATGCTTTAGTAACATGTAATGTAAGAGTGAGTAATGATGTGGAAAAAAACACTGAAAATGAAAGAGATAATGGCAATAGTGTACTTTGACATTGAAAAGGCGTATGACTCTATGTGGAGGGATGGATTACTGATCAAATTGAGTAGAATGGGTATTGGAGGGAGAATGTACAATTGGGTTAGGGCCTTTTTAACAGACAGGACATTTAGAGTAAAGGTTGGAGCAGATATTTCCAATTATTTTGAAATAGAAAATGGTATTCCCCAAGGGAGTGCAGTCAGTCCAATATTATTTAACATCATGATTAATGAGATATTTACATGCTTAGACACATGCGTCCAATCGGCTCTATACGCAGATGATGGGGCTGTTTGGATGAGGGGAAGACATGCCCCATACGTAATGGAGAATATAACTAGAGCGATTAAAAAAGTGGAGAGGTGGTCATATAACTGGGGATTCAAAATGTCAGAAAGCAAGTCATGCTACATGGTATTTACAAACAAACAAACGCAAGATTGATGGCCAACAGCTAACACTATATGATCGTCCAATGACAAAGGTGAATGAGTTCAAATACCTAGGACTGTGGTTTGATAGCAAATATACATGGAAAATGCATATTAAACAAGTGGAAAACAAAATGCAAAAAAGTATTAAATGTATTGCGAGCTGTAGCTGGATGCAACTGGGGTGCAGACAAACAAGCATTAATAGACATTTACAGATCAATTATGAGGTCCACAATAGACTATGGTTGTATAGTGTATGGAGCAGCAGCAAAAACATCGCTTTTAAAAATTGATAGAATACAATATAAAGCATTACGGCTGTGTATTGGAGCGATAAAGTCATCCCCTATCAATGCAGTTCTGATAGAAGCAGGAGAGACACCGCTGGAGATCAGAAGAGAGAAACTTGCTCTGTCATACTGGGTCAGACTACAAGGAAGTGGAGAAGAAAATATTTCAAACAGAATATTACAGGATTGCTGGGAATATGCAAAATTCCAGGGACGTGGGTTTGGCTGGACGAATAAGGAAAGAACGAGGGCATGTGGAGTGGAGAATATCACGTTTTGCCATTTAGCCGTGTTCCCCCATGGTTGTTCCCAGAAGCTAAAATAGATATGAGTATTGTAGAAAGGAAAAAAGAGTGGCAAATAAATGAAGTGGGAATTAAAACAAGTATGTATCTGAACGAAAAGTACTACAATTTCCTACAAATGTATACAGATGGTTCTAAGAACAAGGAAGAGTGTGTTGGAGTTGGCATATACATCCCTGGCTTTAAAATATCTATTTAAAAAGAGCGTCTGATCAATTATCAGTGTACACAGCAGAAATGCTTGCTGTAATAATAGGATTGCAGTGGGTTGAAGAGGTCAGACCAGATAGAGTGGTTATATGTACAGATTCATTGTCCATATTACAAAGCATACAATCAACTACTAGAGAAGACATTCTGTGGTTGGTGTTTTGGGAACAAAAGGAGAGGGAGTAAGAGCTACCAGAAAGGCACTGTTTAAATTCTTGAGTGAAACTGGGGAAGGAAAAATAATTTAACATTAGGTCAGGAAAGAACATAGATTTGTTTTTTGTTTTATTTATTTCATGGTTTTATTGATTTATTTATTGATTTTAATTTAATTTTGATTAGAGCATAAGTTAAAGAGTTGGAATGATGTGATGATTCATACTCATGTACAGTAGGTGGCGGTATGCACCTTTTAAGTTGTTTGCAATCCGCCAAAAGCAAGAGAAGAAGAAGAAGAAGCAGAAGCAGAAGCAGAAGCAGACGTTGATGCAGATTTTATAACAAATGTAATGTGTTTAAGAGACTTTTAAAACACATACCAAGAGTTAGTTTATCCTTGGAGGGTGATTTATCCGTGCTTTATCCGTTAAACCGTGTTTTAGTTGCTTCCCGTTCTTTGTTCGTAGCTTTTTTACCACGTGGCTGATCGATAAACACAAATAAAGGCATTAAAGGGAGATTAGTGTGTTTAACGGCAGTGTTTTATCAAGAAAAAGAAAGACTGAAGAACCAGGACGAAGAGGAGAGAGAGGTAACATCCTTCAATGTGTGTGTGTGTGTGTGTGTGTTTTAATGACTTTGTATACTGCAGGGTAGCTTGTGAATTTACTCCAGGTGGAACTAAAGTCTGATTTCACGCTTGATTAGATTTACCATCATTAATCCAGATCTGTAAAGTAACTAAAGGTATTAAATACATGTAGTGGAGTAAGAGTACACCATTTACCTCTGAACTGTTCTAAAAGTACAAAGTAGCATTACATAGAAATACTCAAGTAAAGTAAAAGTACCTCTAAATGGTACTTAAGTTCAGTTCTTGAGTAAATGTACTTAGTTACTTCTCGCCTCTGCTATGAACCTACGAAGTAGCTGTAGATTTGTTTTGTTGTGTCTGTCGGTTGTATTGAGTTGTCTTGTTTTGTGTCAGCTGTAGTTGTGTTGATTATTTCAGAGACACAGCCGGAGAAGGAGCACTGAGAGCAGCATGGAGGAGAACAAAAAGACCCCTGGAGCTCAGGTCAGTGTGCACTTCATCACAATAGATTCCTAACACTGTTATCCCCAAATGAAAGATCACAACCTGTTTAGAAAATACAATATGAATGCACAATATGGTTAGATATAGCTTAGAACGTTGTTGTATATGATACAATAACACTTTAATGGTCAGATCAAGTCTGAAATGTGACTTGCATCACAGCAGCTCCATGTGTAACATCAACATAAACAAATATCAAGACACAATACATGAAAAACAAACAACAAACATGTAACCTAACAGCAGGATCAGTGAGAGACAACCTGCTCAAAGAGCCTTCAGCGTGCTTTTGATCTGGATTCAGCTCTGTATTTACTGAGAGGACAGACTGGAGCACAAAGGATGCTTCAGTCTGACTTTATTGAATCTCCATTAGATGGCAGCAGTTCATATTCTCTGTTCAGAGCATGCTTTGGGTCCCAGGTGATGTTGTTGGACAGCCTCTCAGGTTATTATGGTCTGCTGAGTCAGAAAGTCTCTGACAGGGTGGACCAACAATCTTTGAGCAGACTTTTAACAAGTGGAGCAGTTTTGATTTCAAAGCTGTTGACAAACACTTGCTCTCAGTGCTCCTTCTCCGCCTAAAAACCCACCTCTTTCCCTCGCTTACCAGTCAGTCTGAGCTATGTCTTACCTATTTGTATGCTTTACTGTCTGTCCATAGCCTTTATGTGCCTTGTATTTATTCTTATGTGTGCTTTTTGATCTTTTCTTATGTGTGCTTTTTATCTATTCGTGTAATATTATATTTTATTATAATGTTATGTTCATTGTGAAGCACTTTGGCAAACCCTCTGTTTTTAAACTCTGCTATATAAATAAAGTGGATTGGATTGGACTTGTACCAGGTCGCATTGCAGTACTGCAGAACAGACACGATCATAGATGAAAAGTAGGGCTGCATGATTTGGGGAAATAATCAAATTGCTATTTTTCTGACAGATATTGCGATTTGATTTGCAATATTTGTTTTTAAGCAACCCAGCGGAAGTTTATTGTAAAATGCGGCTATATCTCCGGCTAGGAAGGTCGTATCAAAGTGCTCCCGTCTCTAGCACCCCCGCAGCCCGAGCTGCGAGCAAAAGAACTAAACTTACATGAAACTTCCGTTGGGTTGCTTTAAAGTCAAGCTTCAGTTTAAGATTCACCCTGTAATAGATGTAAAACATGTGAGCATTACTAACCTGACTCAGATGCTTTGATTCACCAAACCATCTAGGAAAGCTCCATTTGAAGCCATTTGGAAAGGGCAGGCACTTTCAAAAATACTTGGCAGGTGATTGGATCAATCTGTCTATCACTATCATGGGCCACTTCTGATTGGTTAACAATGGCTTCTGATTGATGTGGATGACTGACAAACAAGAAGAAAGAAAACAATAAAAAAGTTATGTGTCAGTATTCAGTGTTTCCCCTAGGTTTACTGCCTTGGCCCCGAAACTATTTTTTGAATTTTGAATTTTAAATATGGGCAGCTTGTCTCTACGATTCGCTGGCCAGGAAGTTGATGTTGATGAGTTATGTGCTAAGTGCGTTAGCACTCTTTCGCTTACTGCTGATTCAGAGACTCGGTGTTAGAGTTGGGTTTTGTTTCAGTAAAAATATTTCATATCGTCAGTTAGCTGAGTTTCTTCTTGTTAAGTGGGTATGACACATTAAAATACGGCTATATCTCCGGCTAGGAAGGTCGTATCAAAGTGCTCCCGTCTCTAGCACCCCCGCAGACCGAGCTACGAGTGAAAGAACTAAACTTACATGAAACTTCCATTGGGTTGCTTTAAAGCAGGCATTGGCAAACTAAGACCCCGCGGGCCATATACGGCCCATTGGGCTTTTGAATCCGGCCCGCCGAATATTGGTACAAAATTGTCCAAATTATAGTAAAGACCGCATTCATTTTGCCTTTTTCCTGCAATTCCTGGCATTTCAGTTGATCCCACTAGATGGGGCACTCTGGACACAATTGACATTTGCTGGAGTCTGGTCTATTCTCTCAGCTGGCCCCACTCGGCAACCCGGCAAGATCCAAGAACCAAATACGTCACGCTTACATTGGAGGGGGTCGAGATTAACCTGAGCAATAACAGTTCATGGCGAGTACGGCGAATACAAGTTGTAGCAAGCAGTAGCGCTGAGCAAAGTGACTAGAACGCGACCACACATTTATAAAAAACACTTATATAAAATCAGGCAACACTAACCAGACTTAGTGTGATTCTGTTTATTTGACCTTAATTTAATAACCATCCGTTCACTGTTATTGACCATTGTGAAGAGGCAGATGATTTCCTTTTTGTTTTGTATTATTGCAGCTATCGGATGGAATCAATACATGGGCTACATGTGGCCATCACAAGTAAAATCATAACGAAAACTACGCCGGTAAAATATGCGTGTAGAAAACGGCTTATGCCACAATATGATAGCAACAAGTAGTCAAGATAGTCAGATTAGCTTTGGTTGCTATGCTAACATCACCTGTAGAATGCCAGAGAAACTTTCATAACAGCGTTGTGATGCCAAACAGCTTTCAGACTAAAACACATTCACTGATGGGGATGGGGGATATTTGTCAGCTGCTTGTATGACAGTCAGACAATGAAAACTTTACAGCGGCTGCTGCCGCGAGTTAACGGGAGAATAAACTCCGGTAGACGAGCAGCACTGCAGCGGGCAGTAATGCAGCAGAACCACATTAATAAACAATGCACCACGGCACTCTGGAGAAAGGTACAAGGTTGGAGAAGTAGTTCTTTAATGTAATCTGGCTTCGTATAATTAAAAACTACCAGACGCAGTCCTCTATTGATGTTGTTGTGAGCGGTGTTGTTGAGAAAATCAGCGACGTAAAACGCTGTGTGGGTCATAAGAAGGCACGTAAACGGTTACGTCATGACGCAAACGATGACGCAATAATTCACCTTTGAACCTAATTCACCTTTGAACCTGCATCTGTAACAATGAGTGGACCAAAGAAAAGAAAAGTCAACATTGAATGATGAGTGTATAATGAGGAGTGGACAGCTAAATATATTTTCACCGATCTGCTACTGGCCCGGCCCGTCTGTCAAATTTTAAAACTCATAGTGGCCCCCGAGCCAAAAGGTTTGCCCACCCCTGCTTTAAAGTCAAGCTTCAGTTTAAGATTCACCCTGTAATAGATGTAAAACATGTGATGGAGTATTTACTAACCTGACTCAGATGGTTTGTTTCGCCAAACCATCGAGGAAAGCTCCATTTGAAGCCATTTGGAAAGGGCAGGCACTTTCAAAAATACTTGGCAGGTGATTGGATCAATCTGTCTATCACTATCATGGGCCACTTCTGATTGGTTAACAATGGCTTCTGATTGATGTGGATGACTGACACACAAGAAGAAAGAAAACAATAACAAATAAAATGTTTTTTTTAAAATCGCAGGCTTTACGATTTGATAATCGAATCATTTCAAATTGTGATCTCGATTTAAAATCGATTAAGTGTTCAGCCCTAATGTAAAGAACAACAGAATAATTTCTCTGCTCGCCCAAAAATATGTGCTCTTTCCATGACAGCAGATGGTCAATCATTACACCCAAGTATTTGTATGAAACTCCCTGCTTGATTTGATCTGTATGGATGACAATGGGGACTTTATGGGAGTCAGATGTTGAGCCAAAAATGATTTCCTCAGTTTTCTTGGTATTGATCTCAAGAGCATTGTTATCAGTCCTCTCAACCACCTGATTTACTGCCTGTTGGTGCAGCTCAGGGTCGTCTGTGTTACTTAGCAGTTACTTAGCATATTATTGAAGTATCATCAGAGTACTTAATTATGAATTGATGTGGTGTGTTGGTACGACAATCATCAGTGTAGAGAGTAAGGCAAGGCAAGTTTATTTATACAGCACCTTTCAAAGTGCTTTACAAAAATGAAAGACATTAAGAAAATGGCATTTAAAAACAGTCAAGCAAAGATAATAGAATAAACATTAAAAGACCAAACACATGAATAAAAGTTACAGTGCAGTTTAAGATAATAGTTCAATTAAAAGCAGCGGCAAAAAGAAAAGTCTTCAGCCTGGATTTAAAAGTAGTCAGAGTTGCAGCGGACCTGCAGGTTTCTGGGAGTTTGTTCCAGATGTTTGGAGCATAATAACTGAACTTCTCCAGGTTGAGTTCTGACTCTGACAGAAAGCAGACCAGAAGACCTGAGAGATCTGGATGGTTCATCATTTAGCTGGAGGTCAGAAATGTATTCTGGGTCTAAACTAGGGATGCTCCGATCGATCGGTCACCGATCGAGATCGGCCGATACTCACTCTCTACGGATCGATCGGTGCTCTCTAAACATGCCGATCGCGAGAGCCGATCGCATGACGTCAAATACATGACACTTTTCTCTGTGTGCGGCAAAACAAGCTCGCCAAAATGGCTTCATCGGTCTGGCTTTATTTTAAGGTGTCCGAAAAAGACAGTAAAATAGCGGTATGCAACGTGTGTGAAGCAGAAGTCCTGCAGCTCCGCCCGCCGGACCGGTAAGCGGAACGAAACACACAAGAGTTAGACCTAACACACTTAGCTATTTTATCTACCTCTGGAACAAGCTAAACTAGTTATTATAAATATATGTATTATTCACTGTCGGGTCACTCATTACTGGATCAGTGAGCTGCATGAGATACTGACAGGCTGTCAGGAGAGAGAGAGGGAGAGAGGGGGGGAGAGAGTGGGTGGGAATAGAGAGGAGAGATAGTTTGGGGAAGAGAGGGGATATATTTTGCGCTATCTGCTCTCGCTCTTTGTTTCTCTCTTTTTTTGCATTTCTCTCTTTTGTTCTCTCTCCTTTTTTCTCTCTCTCTTCTTCTCATTTTTCCTCTCTGGTTTTCTTCTTTTCTTTTTTCTTCTTTCTCTTCTTTTTCCTTGCTTTTCTCTTTTGCGGTTAATATGAAAATCCTCTTCCGCTCATCTCTCCCGTGTTATTCTCCAAAGTGAATGTA